TAAGTAATAACAACAATATGTAATCTTTATTTATTTCATATTAAAGAGATTTTACACTGGAATGCTTTAACTTGTGGTGCATGCAAAATATGTCCAATAAATTCACAGCAAACTATTACAGTACCTAATTTCTGGGAGATGTTTTATCAGTTTGAGGACATATTTTGCACTCACAGGAGCCTGCTGAGCATTTCTGTCCAAGCTTGAATAGTTCAAGAGGGAGACTTTATGTGCGTTTGCTAATAAGGAGTCTCGAGAAGCTCAGGATTATCTGAAGTTCATCTCCTGCTTCGCTCCACGTGGCGGTCTGGCCCTGAGGACAGATTCTGTTGGCAATGAGAAAAAAACCATCTGCTCTTATTTAACCCTCCCATAAAACGTAGCACACGAGCAGGAGAGAGCGACGTGTGAATGTGGGAGCGTGTTTGTGTTTTGTGGGAGAGAAGGAGTCAGACAACAACTGTAACAACCAGAATCATGCCTTTTTAATTTACCTCTACTGCTTAAATGAACCAGTCAGTAGGTTTTCATTGAATATTCAGTGTAGCACATAGAGATGGTGAAGCTTAGACATTTTGAAAACCCTGCTGGATCTATTTTCACTCACCTGCTCTTTAAAGACTTTGAAACAGCAGCTCTCCCAGTTAATGATTGACCATTATGGGGGAAGTGTGCACTTACTGTGTGTCTTATCGCTCTTGACCACAAAGCGACTGGAACAGGATCTCTGAGGCTGACAATAATGGAGAGGACAGTGCTTTGTTTAAAGAGACAGGTCAATTTCTTTTTGTCTGTAGAGGGGGAGATAGCAAGCATGCAAAGGCGCTGTTGATTCAAATGACTCTTTAATTCAGCACAGATTATGCAGTTTGCTTTTACGTGATTGTACACTCCTATTTCTAGCTCACAAAACAGAAAATGAAATGAAAATTAGTCATCCTTTTTGTAGCATTTGTTTAGTCTTGTTTTTTTTCTTTATCTGCTTTCCTGTCATAAGACCACTTGAAAATGTTTTTAATTACAAATTTATTGCTAAATGGAGGGAAAAAAAAACAAAAAATTACATTTTGTGACCATAAATAAGTACAAAATTATGTTAATCAGGCCTAAAACAGATTTTGTGGCTCTATGTAATTCACAAAGGGAGACATGCTCCTCAAACTGTGCAGCACTGCCACAAAATGTCATCTCTTGGCAATGATGCAGTTTGTCCATATTTTTCTTTTAATTCAAAATTTAGAGGAAATCTTTGTGTAAATAACTACCAGGGAGGGAGTGGTGCTGCAGAGGTTGGAGAAGGTGGGCCTGTGATCGGAAGATTGCCGGTTCAACTCCCAGTACTGACAACATAAAAATGTGGGTGGTACAGGTGAAGCACCCACACCTGCCTCCACCCTCATTTTCACCACTCTGGGCCCTTGAGCAAAGCCCTTAACCCCCACCATCTGCTCCCTAGATAACAGCTCTCTGCTCCACACAGAGGGCTGTGGTAGCTCGGTGGTCTTTGGTTGTGTCAGGAATGGGCATTCGGTGTAAAAATAATTGGCAAGTCTTCTTGTGACTTAGTTCACTGTGGCGACCCCTAAAAACAAAGGAAAGTCAAAAGAAGAAGTGTAAATAGCTACCAGGGCTAGAAGCATTTAAGGCTCAAAGACCAGTACTGTTTGGGACTAGGCCTGTCTCGATAAACAATAAATCAATTAATCACATGATGAATATTATCAACTTCATTTTCATTTATCGGTTTTATCATTCCTTTGTGTCTCTTTCTGCTGAAGACACTGGATGACAAAAAGCTTAACTCTGGTGCTCTTCCCTGAGCCCTCCCTTTCTCTTTTCTTTTTAAAATCTGTTTTAACCGTCCAAAATCACGTTTTTGGATCGTTAAAAGAAGCTAAGCTGAGAAGTAAGCTACGAGCTAAGCTAACAGGTCGACCTTGGGAATAAACCTCCATCTTGTCAAGCTCCAAAATTCACGGTCGAAACCCGTGCCTTTGTGTGAAAAGTTGTTTTTCTCTGCAAAAAGAAGCTGAGAACTTGTTTACTGATAGAGACACGCTGCTCAGCTACCTATCATTTGGTTCAAACTGTCTTATACTGCCATCAAGTGGTCAAAAAAGATACCACACTCCAAACAAATCAACGTTTCTTTAATTTTCTTCTAAAATTTGTCAATAGTTAAATTTCAAACAATATTATTGTTTATCACAATAATTTCTGAGACAATCACACAGCAAAATTTGTTATCGTGACCGGCCTACGTGTATTTGGGACACACATTTAGCATGAAATATTTCTCCTGAGAGAAACTGATCAAGAAGAGCAATCTGTTGCATTAAAAAAAGAGGGCTGCCATGTGAGGTAAAGTTTCATCCTCTCTTCCAGTGATATATCAGAAATTGTTGCAGCAAATAAATTGTCAATAAAGGAAGCATATAAACGCTAGTTTCTGCGGTTTTACTATCAGAGTACCAAAACTCTTATGACAGAGGATCATAGCAGATAGGTCATCTGGACAGTTTCTTGGACTTCACCAGTCTGAGGAGCCACAACAAACTATAGACTACACTACAAGACTAGGCTATGGATTCCACAGAGGAGTTGACAGAAGAGGGAGCGGGCCCCAGAAACCATCTTATCACCAGCAAACTGGTTGGTCCACTATGTGAGTGTGCTGCTTGTGGGACTGAGTTTGTTGTGGCTCCTCGGAGTGATGAAGTTCTTTGGATGCAAGACGTAACATCTCAACAAAAAAGAAATTGTCCAGATGATCTGACTTATGCGATGTGCTGCTGTTCGGCGTATTGCTTTTTTATATTACTAGTGCTTAGCGTATTTTTAGTTATTGTTTTTCTTAGTTCATATCTTAAATCTTATTACTGTTTTTCTTTCAGGACTGTGTGTTGAGCCCCCTCCTGTTCACTCTGCTAACGTATGGCTACGTACCGACCCACCCAGGCTGTCATATTGTAAAGTTTGCAGATGATACAGCAGAGGTGGTGGGATGCATCAGAAACAATGATGAGTCCAGCTCCAGGCAGGAGGTGGAACACCTGGAGAGTTGGTGCAAAGAGAATAACCTTCACATCAATGTGAAGAAGACGAAGGAGATGATTGTGGACTTCAGAAGGAACAAACACACCTACCCCCCAAACATAGGAGGATCTGTGGTAGAAGTGGTCTCCAGTTACAAGTACTTGGGCGTGCACGTGAATGATAACCTCAACTGGAGCAACAACACCATGTCTGATCAAGAAAGTTCATCAGAGACTCTACTTCCTCAGACGGCTGAGATGAGCTGGACTGGGAAGCTCAGTCCTCACCTCCTTCTACAGGTGTGCAGTGGAGAGCATCCTGTGCTCGAGCATCAACGTGTGGCATGGAGGCTGCACAGCTGCAGAAAGAAAAGCTCTGCAGAGAGTGGTGAAGGCTGCACAGAAGATGTTGGAGTCAGTCTCCCCACCATCACAGACATCTGCACCTCCAGATGCAGGAAGAGGGACACCTGCATCATGGAGGACCCCACTCACCCAGCACACACACTTTTTGCTCCACCCCCCTCTGGCAGAAGGCTGAGGACAGCTTCTACCCTGAGGCTGTTAAACTCCTGAATCCCTAAACAGGAAAAATCACTGTGAAAATTACTGTGAAAAACAAACAAACTGTGAAAGTCACTGTAATGTCACTTGATTGTTGATACGTGCTGCAGACTATCCATGATGCTGATCTCGTGCTGCTGATTATTTCATGTTGCTGTGTTAATTACTCCTCCTCATCTGCTCATATGGACTCATGTTTGTGCTGCTGTTGTCTTGGCACATTGTTTTTGTACCATTAGTGCTTAGTGTATTCTTAGTCTTGTGTATTCTCAGTTTTAGTGAATGTAGTAAATGGTAAATGGACTGTACTTATATAGCACCTTTCGATCTTATTTCAGGATACTCATAGCTCTTTACACTACAATCTGTGTCCTCATTTTCCCATCCACACAGCACTCTACTAGATCTCTACAAAGCTAATGGAACAAATCATTGTAAAGAGACTAATCAGAGCTTTATCACATTCAAACACTGATGGGACACACATCGGAGGCGATGAGGGGTTCAGATCTTACTAATATTTTTCTTTACAATTTGTATTTTTGTTGGATGTAACTGGGACCCTGTGAAGTCAATTTCGTTCCACCACATGTACCACATGGTGCATACGACAATTAAAGAAGCTTGAATCTTTGAACCTTGAACTTAACTCTATTGGATTTTTACCTGGATTATTGAGCATGAACTTTCATAGCAGACAGTTTCATATCCAGAGGCTAACAGTGAGCAACAAGAACCCCTTGGTCCAGGATAAGAAAATTCATCCTACTTTTTTTTTTTTTTTTAAGTAAAAATAAATTGATGCAAGGCTCCAGAATAAAGTGAAAATGACATTAATTGATTTAGAAATGTTGCCCATGAGTCTGTCCTGTTGCAGTTCATCGTTACAGTTTTAAGGAGTGTTTCTGTAATTCACCCGTAATGACCGGGAGTTCATTGTTGTAAAACATATTTCCCATTCTCTGTCACTTTGGCCTCGACTTTCTCATATTTAGATTGTGCATCAAGGGCAGCTGTAATCTCATGCATAAAGACAACAAATTGCTCACACCTGCTGAACCTAATGGATGTGATTTATTTCATCGTATCATCATCTAGCTGTTTTTGGTTACTTTTTCGGCCATCTTATTTGTAAAAAAAAAAAATCTGTATGCCTTTTTATAACTGTCTATTGTTGTCGCTGTTGTCCATTGTTGTCATCATTCTTTGTTGAAATCAGGTCTCTCTTGTAAATGAGTCCTCGGGGCTCAGTGGGATTTACCTGTAGAAATAAAGGTTGAATCATCTGTGCTGTCTGCAGCAGATGGAGGATGCAAGCGATGTGCAACAGTCAAAACTAAAATGAAGCGCTGCGTATTTTTAGTAAATCAGGGCCTTTATTTGAAAATGTTTTCCAGTAATTCAACATTTCTGCTGTTCTTTCTTCTCCATGTCAAACACCTCACATTGCCTTCCAAAAGAGACAAGCCTTTTATTAGGCACACAAACAGTCAGGGGTGAATCCCACCAGCTGTACTCTGGTGACAACACGCAGGTCGGTCTGTGGTCAACCAAGTAGCGGTTCAAGTAGCTTTCCTCAAGGCCTCTGGCTGTTACTCTGTTTGCCTGGTCCTGAAGAAGAAGCAGAGCACAGCCACGAGTGAGTCTGCTCATCTCAGGCGCCGACCCGCCGTAAAACTCTGAGGTGTAATAGTAGTCCCCTTCATCCTCCTCTATGCAAGCTGCTGAAACTTCTTGATCCTCATAAGGAAACATGTTCTGCGACATGCCATAAACTTCTGGGTGCAAGGTAGCCACTAGGTCTCCGAGGATTTCCTCCCCCACTGGGCCCACAAACTCCTGGTCCACATCAGCGCAGAAGATGTACTCGACCTCTTTACCAATCAAATCCTGGATGGCATCAGAGAACAGCCCCATCCGACGATAAGCCAACCTTTCCCACCCAGGCAGTTCTGCAACCAGGAGCACTTTCATCTGCCTCCCAGGTCCCAGCTCAAACGATGGATCCAGAGTACGAGGATTGTCAGTGAGAATAAAATATGTGACCATTTGATTTGGAAGAAAATAGATTTCAGCCGAGGAGAGGAAAGGTCGGACGAACCGGGCGTAAGTTCCCACCACAAGGATCAGCAGACCAACGGAGACTCCTTGTTCTGAGAATTTGATTCTTTGAAACGCTGACTTTTGGCTGTCGCCCCACACTATAGGAGCTCCCCATGGTGTCTCATTGGGATTTTGTGCTTTTGCTGCCTTGATCACCGTCATGTCTTCCAGTATTTTTCCTTCTTCCATTCTTGAAGCACGATTAATTGGAGGAGCTGCCTTCAGACTGACAGAAACTTTATGTCCATTGAAGAAGTCTAAGATAAAAAAAAAAATTCATTTTCAGCACAACCAAATATTTAAAAAAGTAAAACTATTTTGACACTTTTATATAAACGCTAAATGCTTTAGTCTTTTCGGTTTATGTAAAGGAATACACAGGTATTTTTAGCAATTTGTGGCACCTGAGACAAGACAAAAAAGACGGTCATAAATTGGACAATCACAACTTTTGTTAGAACACCACCCAGCTGAGGTCACTTTGAAGTTGGCGGCATTGGCTCGTTTTAGTATGCACATGCATTGTCCCAATACAGAGAGTTTGAACGTCTCGTTTTGTACACTTACAGATGATAAGAGACAGGAGAAAGCAGCACAGGAGGAGCTGTACCCTGGTCATTCTGACTGTACCTGTTAGAAAGGACAAGCACACAGGTGCACTCATCAATCCCTGCTTCTCTGTAAAGGTGTTGCACTTTGACAATACTTTACCTCCAAACTGCTGCTTTACAAACTAGATAATGCGACTAGATTTTAGAGACAAGATAGAAAATACACAACTTCAGAAATATTTCCTGTTGAAAGGATAACAGTTCAAATTTTCACTTGTAATTGACTGTAAACATCTTGCAACGTTAAAAAATGTGGATGCATCCGTATAGCATGGAGGCCTTTTCTGATTAGGAGAAAGAAAACAGAAGAGAAGAAATAAATGAATAAAGCTATATCATCTGCCACAATTTTAGCATTAGATTGTTAGCTTTCCTAGTGTTTACACTTCATAATACACCGAGCATCAAAATGTGAAATGCAATGGAAAAACTAGAGACCGAAGCAGAAGAGGAGGAGCAGAGAGCATGAAGACTACTAACCTGTAGGTGTCCTGCAGAGCAGGAAAAGTGCCATGTTGTGGATAAACTCAGAGCTGTTTCCAGACACACTATTGGTCACTGTTTGTGCTGCTTCCTGTGTGTGTTTCTTGGTAGTTCACCCAGTTTTTACCTAGAAGTGTGCCGTCAAAGTCACGGTTTTCAGCCATAAGTTTTTCAAGCTTGCCTGCTCTCTCCTCTTGTTGCTTTTAGACTCTTTTCCACTCCCTTTGCTTCATATAGCTTGTTTCTAAGCCCCCCCCCCCCCCCCACCACCACCACCACACACACACACACACATTCCCTCTGAGGATCCAGCAGCATTTGTCTTTTGGAGCACAACCAAAGCAGCCAGATGTGAAAGAGAGCGGTTGAGGAGATGAAAAGATTGTAATGCAACCAGAGAAGGAAAAGAAGAGTGATAGAAAACAGACAATGAAAAAGATAAAGGGATTGACAATCCGTGTCCCTTCTTATGTTAGAATAAACTTTAGGAATATTGTGCAACATGTACTCTCAAATATTTGTGTTTTTCCACACTTTCATTTCAGAAAATTCTACTTTTTGTTAAAAGTTTAAGCAGATTTTGAAAAGGTCACTTTTCCACAGTTTTTAAAGCAGATTTTGGCCCTTGTGTTGGAGCTGTTCTGTCCACAAGGTGGGGGTATTAAACAAGTCTCCAAGGCTCTTGGACATATAATGCTGCTTTTCCATTGTGCAGTCTCATCAAGTCTTGCTTTGACATACTCAGGTCTACACAGTCCAGTGGTTTATGATATAACTCGAATGCTGCAAACACAACACAGCAACAGCCAAATAAGAGAAATAAAGTCACAAAACATTCACCATCCTCTTTCATGGTTTCCAAGAATGCAGTGGTCAAGTCGAAGCCCCCTTCCCGCCCCCAGTCATAGCCTGTAAAATGAGTCCATTTTGGTCCAGATCCATCTGAATTCTGTTGTCAGCCAACAATCCTGAAACTGTCTGCACCTTCTCATAGAACAATGGTGCTGCTTTACATGTTGCCATTTTAATGGCTTTCTATAATTTCAATAAAATAAATAATAAAAAGCGCTGTGATGGACTTGCGACCTGTCCAGAGTGTCCCCCGCCTCTCACACAGTGATAGCTGGACATTGACACCAGTGACCTCCGCGACCCAAAAAGGAAGAAGTGGGTAAAGATAATGGATGGATGGATGGATATGTTAAAATATATAAAGTGACAAAGAACCTCAGTGTGTCTTCCCTCTCTGTAAAATTCTAATACTGTTCTTTCTTTCCTCCACCATACAACAAGTTTAGGATTCCCGTGTTCCTTCTGCAGGTCCTGTGAGTGATTCTGGTTTAGACCATGGGTCCTCGTCGGACCGTTGATTGCCACACGGTGATAATCAGCTGACAACTATATTGGGTTTTTATTTAAGTGAATTATCCCAGAGTTAATGGTAAACCTTGAACTTACCCGTTTCCTCGCAGCATCTTTGTCGTTATCTGTCAGACCATAACCTTGTCCTCTCCTGAGTAAATCTCAGGTGAGAATCCTCCTCCAAGCCATGCAAGAAACAAAGGTTATCTTCAATTTAGCCAAACTCAGTGCAATTTATACCACCCAAAAATTATAAGCAGTGAAGATCTTTAAGTTCTGAAACAGCCTGATATTACTCAGTTGAACTTTGGTGTCACCTTGTTGAAAGTTAAAATGCAAGTAGTAAGTGTCATAAACTGAATTGTAATGTACAGCTAAAAAACCTTAGCCAGTCAGTAAAGCAAATTATCATCTTGCATCAGTGAGGTCTCTGCAAGAATTGCTGGCAACAAAAGGTGCAAAACTAGGAAATATATACTGTACTAAATCTAACAGTCACCAGTACGCATACCGCAAGAATCGATCAACAGAGGATGCCATCTCCTCTGTGGTCCACACTGCTCTCACCCACCTGGAGCAGAAGGACTCCTACGTCCGTATGCTCTTTGTGGACTTCACGTCTGCCTTCAACACTATGATCCCCCAAACCCTGATGGACAAACTACTCACACTAGGACTAAGCCCCTCCATTTGCAACTGGGTACTAGACTTCTTAACGAACAGACCTCAGTCTGTGAGAATCTACAACTTCTCCTCCACCATAACCCTCAGCACTGGCTCCCCTCAGGGTTGTGTGTTGAGCCCCCTCCTGTTTACTCTGCTCACGTATGACTGCGCACCTATCCATCCAGGCTGTCTCATTACAAAGTTTGTAGATGATACAGCAGGGGTGGGATACATCACATAAAACGAGTCCAGCTACAGGCAAGAGGTGGAACACCTGGAGAGCTGGTGCAGGAAGAACAACCTTCACATCAATGTGAAGAAGATGAAGGAGATGGTTGTGGATTTCAGAAGGTGAAAACACACCTACCCACCCCTGAACATAAGAGGATCTGTAGTGGAAGTGGTATTAAGTTACAGGTGCACCTGAATGACAACCTCAGCTGGAGCAACAACACCACCAGCCTGATGAAGAAAGCTCATCAGAGACTCTACTTCCTCAGGCGGCTGAGACGAGCTGGTCTGGAAGCTCAGTCCTCACCTCCTTCTACAGGTGTGCAGTGGAGAGCATCCTGTGCTCCAGCATCAACGTGTGGCATGGAGGCTGCACAGCTGCAGAAAGAAAAGCTTTGCAGAGAGTGGTGAAGGCTGCACAGAAGATGTTGGAGTCAGTCTCCACACCATCACAGACATCTACACCTCCAGATGCAGGATGCATTTCCACTGTCGCCTTCATGCTTGCTCAAGATGAGACTTCTGTGACGGAGTGAAACTGAAATCAGTCTGCTCTTTAGATAAATAGGTTTATCTTGTTATTTTTATATATGAATGTTTCTGTTCAGTGCCCTGAGATGACTTCTGTTGTGACTTGGCGCTATATGAATAATTGAATTGAACTGAATATTTGGCTTATGGTTCTGACAAATGGGCATACACAAACAAAGACATGAGCAAGAACACTATCAGTCTTTTGTTATCATCGGTGGGAGATGAAAATTATTCATTTTTAGACGTTTGTGTGATTATTTACAACATATTTGTGTTATTGTTATTCAGTTTCATTAACAAACTACTGAATAATTTTAGATTTTTATGCGTATTGATGCCTGTTTAGTAACACTTTAAACTTGGTCAAGTTGTAAACTGGGCTTATATTTTAAACTTTTGTTATTCAAATTTTCTGGTAACAGTGAACTTTCTGAACGTGTTATTTGAGCCCAAAACTGTACGAAGTGTATGATTTATTTTATGCTGACAGTCAGAGACCAGCACACTCAAGTTGTCACTTTGCCTTTTATTTTGATAAATCTCATATATTTTTACACATCCATACAGAAGTTGAAACATAAACATTAGTTTATGGAAACAACTGAACAATCAGTCCAAACAAAGACATAAAGATTACAGCACAAGTTTCTCTAAAGAATGGATTAATCACTGGGATGCAGAGCTTCATCCCAAACATCGTCACTTATAGCAGCGAAGTGGGGCAGGCAGACTCTGCATCAAGGCGTCACAAACACTTGAATTAGCGTCAACAACCCGACCTGCACCACACAAAGAGGCGTGCACAGATACAGCACGAGTTAAAGCGTTCAACCTGAATGTGCCTGAATGTTGCAGAGCTGAGCCCAGATTCGACACAGCCTGAGCTCAGCTTCAGCAGTCTGATCAACCGGTTAACACCAAACATGGAACATCAGAGAAATGGTTTAGGTACAAATAATTGTCAAGTATGCACAGAAGTGGTTTTAGCTGGCATCTTACAGATGTGACGCGATCTGACGAGGTTCTGGCAGTGGTTGGATGGAGCTGTGATCATTGCAAACTGATTGAACGGTGCCACGATAAATAAAAAGTTACTTTACACTGAACTTAGTTTTAATGAACTTTAGAAAAATAGTTTCTCGAATGCAGCATTGTACTGATACAAAAATAAACTGCAAAAGAAAACAAAGCTAAATATATATATATATATATATATATATTTTAATTTATTGAAGGTTATTGTTGTTCAATCTCTAATCTAGCAAAAACAATAAATTTATTTCTCTTTAAAAATTTTAAGCAAACAGAAAGTAATCATGTTTTATTTGTATTTTCTTTTCTTGAACTCCTTAGGATGAACCTTTTACTCACAGGTTCAGATTTTCATGTGCTCATTAAAATATTTAGGATATTTTAGGTATACTCGTAATTTAATCGTAGCTTTTTAGCATCAATTCATTATCAGTGGGAAAGAAGTAAGTCTCCCGTTAGTACTGAGACATTCACTAAATGAGATTGTTTAATTACTGTTTAAAATCATATCACAATCATTGTCTCTGAATAAAATATAGATATAGAAATTACTGCTAAAGGTGGCTAATCATGCTTGGGCAGGCAGTAGAGTAAAGAGAGCCCAGGCCACTAGAACACCCCCCCACCCCCCCCCCCCCCCCCCCACCACCACTTTTTTTTTTTCTGATTAAATGCTTTTAGATTCAACACATGAACGTACACGTTACAGCACATGGGCTCTAAACAGGTCCATATTGAAATTATTAACTGAAAGAGTTAATTAAGAAAAGGTGATGGATCAGAAAAAGACCAGAAATGCAGCATTTGAGATATTTCTCATCTTCTCCTTTTCACTTAGACCTGGTAACATCTCTTTGCTTCCTTGTAATCCTGCGCCTTGTTCCTCTGCTCCCAAGCCAACACTCTTCTTCATCTCCTCCGCCTCCCCCTGCCTCTTCTCTCGGCGCTCACTTCCGAGCATCATCCAACATCTCGAACAGGGCCTGCAGCAGCCGGTCGTCTCTGTGTCTGTACGGCTTGATGTTGTAAAAGCCGTCGCTGTAGTCGCTGTAGACACTGTCCTCGGGGCCCCTGTACTTGTTGATCAAGTCCAGAGCTTGGTACAGCTTTTGTGCCGGGAACTTTGTTGGAAAGACGCCCTGGCTCAGCTGCTGCTTCCTCCAGCTGGGGGAGGGCCTCGGTGCGGTGTGTTGTTGTTGCTTCTGCTGCTGTGACGCGGCTCCTTGTCGGTTGAAGGCGGTCTGCAGGAGACGCAGCAGGGCCAGAGAAGGGGAGTAAAGGGAGTCTGAAGGGGTTTGGGGCTCCTTGTTTGAATTTGAAGGAGATGCTGGTGCAGCCTCTGTCTTCTGAGGTGGGCGGGCCTGGGTGGGCTCCTGTAATAAAAAAGAGGCATGGTGTTAACTGTGTTGACCGGTTCCAGGAAAACTGAGGCAATATGGTGTAATTACAATGTTCATTCAACCTTTATTTCTACAGGTTAATCACACTGAGCCTCTGGGACTCATTTACAAGAGAGACCTGGTTTTAACAAAGAGTGATGACAACAGTGGACAACAAAGACAACAACAGACAATCATAAAGGATGCGTACAAATTGAGAATAACAAGTGAAAATAAAACGGTATTAAAAATGTAACAAAAACAGCTAGGTTGTAAGGCGATGTAGAAAACTAAAAACAAATAAATAAACTGTATCATCAGCATAGAAATGTAAGGATGCATCAGGGATGCTCTGATCTACATTACCTACGTAGATTGTAAAGAGGGTGGATTCTAAGACTGAGCCTTGTGGTACACCATTGTTGACTGTTAAATAACTGGAGGAAGTACCATTATGTCTCCGGTCTGAGAGAGAGTTAGTGAAACAACCAATGATGTGAGCTGAAAAACCAATATCCTGACATGCACAAAAATGTGAGCACTCCTTTAAGAAACGCTTACATACTCACATACACACAAGCAATTATAAGATGCCCCTCCGTCATGAAAGGTGGGTGATTAAAAAAATAAGCGTAGTATTCAAATATTCTGCTTGAACTTGGACAAAAGCAGCAGCGTAGGCATTCCAGTTTTTTGCCTACAGCTCTTGGACACCAGATTGCTCCAACAGGCTGTGAACCATTACCCTAATGAGCTGTAGGAGTGTAAATGGCAGAAGATGACTTCAGTTCGACGCTGGTGCATTATCTGCTTACTGCACTGACAATGTGCTCCTCCTTGGACCTCCCTGGTTTCACCGTTAAAACCTCCTAGTGATTCCTCCAGCTGTTCCTTGCCACCTGCCCACCGACCTATGCAACCTTTCTGCGACCTCCTCGTTTATGACTACTGGAACTAGTGGACCATCACCCACGTGATGACCTTTTCCTCTGATAGTAAGAGACAAACAATATATTTAATCAGAATCAAGGATCCAAAACCTTCATACTAACATTTGTCCTTGGATTCCAGTCCCTCCCAGCTGCTCTCCTGTTGATTTCACATTTTGTAAATAAACACTGTTAATTTTTCCTAATCTTGGAGTTGCTCTTTTTGGTCACATATTATCTGGGTACTTAATACATTGTGACAAGTAGATTTTAACAAGGGCTGAAGGTTTTTAGGATAACGTGCCATTGCATCGTTATTAACAAGCATTAAAATGACTATATCAACTGTGATGAAGCCATTTTGGACAGTTCAGGTCTTTCTGGCTAAATTTACTATTTTCAAGAAAAATAAAAATGCACTGTTCTTGGAATATAAAAGTCCACAGTTTGTTGTGTTTAAGTAGTCTTGTGCTGTATTGATTTTGTGCACATTAAAATTGCAATAATAAAAAAAATTCAGTTTTGTGCAGCCTCAAATACATTTAAAATATCCATCCATCAATTATCTTTACCTGCTTATTCCATTGTGGGTCACGGGGGTCGCTGGTGCCCATGTCCAGCAATCACTGTGCGAGGGGCGGGGTCATTTAAAATATATTAAAGCTAATTCTATCACTAGGATAATTCGATGTTTGTTTATCGTTTAGTGTTAAAGACAAGAAACTCTCACAAATTCCTTCCATTCTTCCAATATCTGCACCTCAGCCTCCGTTTGTCCTCACCTCCATCATGTCATCCATATGCTCCACACCTCGGCGGTCATTCTGCACAGCGTTGTAAGGAATGTACACACGAGGTTTCTTCATGTGCTCCGGTTTCTCTGACATTCCATGGAGAATCAGCTTCCAGTTCAAGATCCGCCCCTTGTTCTCCATTCGGCCCGACTGTCAAAAGGAACTGGTTTTACTCTCACAGCAAAGGGAAAAAGCTGAAACTAAATTATCCATATGAATTGTTCATTTTCATACATTTACAGCAGTTATTTACTTTGAGTGTTCCTCAAAGTTCTTTAGAAGCCCTTGAATTTCTGTTTGTCTAATCTAAAGAGCGTTTAAACTCACAGTGTCTGTGATCTTTAAGGTCCAGGTGCCAGCAGGATCTTCTCCCCATGTGTGAACGGACATGAAGTCCCAGTTCCTGAAGCCATTAGCTGAAGTGTCCCTCTCTCGCTCTGCCAGGAGGACCGTGGTGGTGCCTGAGGCGAAGCCCCAAAGGAACAGATCATTTGAGGATTGTGTTAATTTGCTCACGTGTCCTTGTGTTCACATTTACGTGTGCAGGTCTCTTACCAGCCGGGGAGGTGAGTGTGATGTGCAGGTCTCCTCTCCGGGTGTATTCGATGCTGGCCTCCACCTGCACGTGCTCCAGAGAGCGAACGGCGTTCTCCTGTCCTGCACAGGCTTTGGTTGGGATCTCTATAGTGATCTCTCCTGCAGCTTTGAGCTCCCTGCAGGACGCATGGAAATGAAAAAAAATGAGACGTAAACAACTCGTCCTCAGAAGGGTGCCCTGGTACTGGTTGTTCCCACCAGAGTGCTTCAGAATAGTAAAAACACATAACGCTGCTCTATTTGTAGAAGTTAGCTGTCATACAGTTAGTCCAGCAATGACCACTAGTATACATGTACAGTAAATGCAGATTTGAAATCATTTGGTTATTGTTAAAAAAAGCAGCTGATTAAATCTATCCCAGACTTGAATGATACACAACTGATAAATATTCTGTGAGAGACATAAACAAGTTTATACTTCTTCCTGCTCTTTTCTAACAGATAAAATGCCGACAAGTTTTTATTTATTTATTTGTTTAGTTTGTATCCCCTCTATTTTATCTTTAGTGTATGTTTCTACTTTTGTAAGGGTTAATTTGTGTATTTGTTTCTGATGTAAATGACATAACCTGTCCGCTTGTCTGTTTTATTTGTGTTTTCTCTTGTCTTTATTTCCTTTTCAGATCCTTGTGTTTGCCTTTGTTCCTTCGCGTGTGACTCCATCGTGTTGTCTGTCCCAGCTGTTGCTCCCTCGTGTAATCAAGTCCCTGCCT